GTTTGATTTACAGCTCTAAGGATTAAAATAGTTAATATTATAAAAGTGCAAAGAAGGGTGCCTTGCTTATAGTATATGTTAAGTATCTATTAGCTATTAATATTAAAACAAATTATAGGTTGCTGAGTATGAAATACTACTTGAGCATTTAGGTCCCGAGGTACAGAAGACAGAAATTGTGGGCTAGGCTGGACGCAGTGGCTCATACCTGTAATCTCAGCACTTTGGAAGGACAAGGCAGGTGGATCACTTGAGCCCAGCAGTTTGAGAACAGCCTGGGCAACATAGCAAAACCCTGCCTCTACAAAAACAAACAAACAAACAAAAAAAACAAAGACAAAAATTAGCCGGGCATGGCAGCATGCACCAGTAGTTCCGATTCTCTCTCAAAAAAGAAGAAAGAAAAAGAAAAGAAAAGAAAAAAAAAGGAAAGGAAAAGAAGAGAAGAGAAAAGAAGAGAAGAGAAAAGAAAAGGAAAAGAAGAGAAGAGAAAAGAAAAGAAAAAAGAAAAGAAAAGAAAAGAAAAGAAAAGAAAAGAAAAGAAAAGAAAAGAAAAGAAAAGAAAAGAAAAGAAATGGTAGGCTAGATCTTGGCATACAGACCAGAGTAATAGACAGATATGTCTGCCTAGATTGAGGAGTTTCTCAGGATGGCTAACTCTCAGGGCAAAAACAAAGTTACCCTATCATTACTTGGAGTGAGGAGAGAGACAGTGCTCAGCACCAAGGTAGATTTTCTAGACTGAAGCAACTTATGGAATCTCACAAGTTGATGTTGTTTCAGCCTCCTTTCAGAAGACATTCTCTAATAACAGAAGGCACTTGCCAAATCATCTTCTAGGGAGAATGAAGGGGGAATGACGGTCTTGGGGTAAGATTCCAAAACTTAGTTGTGCAATTTCCTCATACTGGAATTGTGTCCCCTTGTATTAGTCAGGGCTATCCAGAGAAATAGAACCAGCAGGAATATCTAGATATATTAAGAGGAGGGTTGTGGTGGGAATTGGCTTACATGACTATGGAGGCTAAGATGTCTCATGATACGTTGTCTGCAAGCTGGAGATCCAGGAGAGCTAGTGGTGTAAGTCCAAAGGCTCAAGAACAAGGAGCTTTTATACCCAAGGGCAGGAGAAAATGTTAGTACCAGCTCAGTTAAGAAAGAGCTTGCACTTCCTCTGCCTTATCTGATCAGGTCCCGCTACAGATCGGATGATTGGATGGTGCCCACTCAGATCTGATAAAGGTGGATCTTGTTTGCTCAATCTGCTGATTCAAACGCTAATCCGTCCTGGAAACACCTTTCACAGACACACCCTGTAATTGTATTTTATCAGCTATCTGGGCATCCCTTATCCCAGTCTGTTGACACACACACACAAATTAACCATCATTGACTTGATTGAATGATCAGGCCTTTAGTAACTAAGTAGACAGTTGTTGATTTTACTTCTGTGTTAATTGGTCTAAATGCATCCTTGAGAATTATTAAACATATTAATTTTTTAAATGCAATATTCTTTAAACTCTTAGAATATTTGAGAAAGAAGCAACTTAATTAAAAATCAGCATTTGCGATTACGAATGTGCTGTTCTTCCTGTCCGTGGAGTTTTTAAACACTGCCTCTTCCATCCAAGTTACACAAGCCTCACTCAGTTCTTGAAACCTCTCAAGAATTGCTGTTTATTTCTTTAAGGTGTTCCCCAACCAGGATCCCACAAGGTGAATTTTGTCTCTGTTAGACCAGCCCAAATAAACCACAATAATTTACTCTAGTCAATATTCCATGATGGGTCATCAAATAAATGAAGAAGGTGACAGAAGGTTATATATATATTCTTGACCAAGACTATTTGAAATTTCCCATCTCATGGAAAGTTCTTCTTTTCCATCAGTCTAGTGAGTGTGTGGTGTAGTTTACCTTCTATGCCCAAGTACACACAGAACTTAGTTGAGGGAAACTAGATAAAATTATAAAGTTTACCAAAATATTGGTGCCAGGAGGCAGAGGGTGAGGTAATCATTCCAACTTAGTCTCTATTTTATATCACTTCAGTTATCTGAGGAGAAACATCATAGAAATTTTTTCCATACAAAGCTCAAGGTGACTCTGTGCTGCAGGTTATTATATTTTAATCTCCAGATTAGATGCTTGAATCCAATACAATCTGAAAAAATTTATATGTACAATGTTTAAAAGAATTGATAAGAAAGTTTATGTTTAGGTGAAGTTGAAAAAGGTCAACAGAATTGTGCTTCAGTGTGCTAAACTTAATATATATGCACAAAAGAATGGCAACAGAAATGTTATTTTTCCCACAAAATGTTTATTTATTATTTTACACCCAAGGGGGAAAGTCCTCAATTTGAAATTGTCAGTAGTGTCATTTACTATTAATAGGTTCACACCATACTCCTAGATTAACTTTCAAACATATTTTCTGACAAATTGTAGTCTGATACTGATGACCTAGTTTCAGCAGTGAATAGCTGCCACTCAAATTTCTCAAGAGAAGAAAAAATTCATATTTAAAAATACAGAATTTCTCAGTACAGTATAACAAAAATGTTTATGGAGAGACCCATGTAAATTATCATCATTTTTGGAGACAGCAATCTCTTAATACAAATTGAATCACCAATAGTGCACTCATATTGTGACATTATCAAAGCATGCAAGATAGAATATTTCATGCATTGAAGAAGATACCATATTTCAATGTATATAGCAAACATTAATGGATAATAGCTTAGTATAAACCAGGCTGATATGGAGCGAATAGTTCTCTTAAAAAAAAAAAAAAAAAAAAAAAAAAAATTTTTAAAAAAAAAAAAAAAAAAAAAAAAAAAAACTGATGTGAAAGGAAGCAGTGAAGCAACAAAAGTTGATAATTCTTCATAAGGCAATTTAGTGTGATAAGAATTGGCGTTCTTTTCATCGCAAAAATGCTTATAAAAGAAGTAATAATTGTGGAAGCATGATAATTTACTGCAATAAGCTGAATAAAATGCTTAAAATTCAAAAATAGAATTTACCCCAAAGAACTTGAGATTAAAAATGAAAAACTACTCAGAATATACATATTTACACTTATCTCTTGTAGAGCATATGTTTCCTTCCAAGCTATGTAAGGATTTACCATTTGCCATGTTTTCACAGATTAAATATTGTTAAATGCTCCAAGGCACAGTTCATAGCTACTTTCAAGATTAAAACTAATAAAAAATCTGTTTTAAATACATTCTTATTATTTGACACTTTAGTGGGTCTAAATCATATAAAGACTGTCAATTTTATTTCTCTATACTTCAATACTACAAATGTTAGTGTATTGAATATTAATATGATCAATTGCAAAACATCTAATTCAATTATATGTCCCTTTAATTCTATACTAGATACTTTAACAAAGTTGGTAGAGATATTAAAGTCTTGAGTATTCTTTTTACCTCACTTTTCCTTTTCTATGTACAATTATGTGTTTATGTTTTTATCATTTTTTTGCTTTTTCCCACTATTCCTTATAAAAGCAAACAATAATTATAAAATATATAGGGTCCTCTGTGTATAAGTTTAATCTTTTTTTCTGCATCTTAATAGTAATAATACTACATTTGGAATTCAGGGTATAATATCTTAAGTGGTATGTCTATACAATTTCCTTAAGGTAATTATATTGTAAAATTATAATACATGCATTGTTACCACAAACTACAAACAGGCCAAACTGTATTCTGGTTTGTTTATGCTTATTTTAATAATCTTGCAATACATTATTTTCATGTACAAATTATTTTTGCTTGGCCTGTCTGAGCTGATATTAAGATATATAGTATATGTTTATGCTAAAAATAAGAAACTCAACCCTTAAAAATACGTCCACTACACCAAAACTCAAAATCACTTTTACAGAAACCTATCAATTAATGGGCTTATATCTAAACATCCAATATAAGACATCAAGTATTTAATAAGTTAGGATTATATAATTTGACTCAATAGACTCATGTTATATAGATATTGTATAGATAATTCTCTGAGATTTTTCATGTTTCTTGTAATGGACTCATCTGCTTAACAGTGTTCTGGGTTACAATTATTGTGTTCATGTTGTATATGGAAGAACAGACCCAGAATTACTTTATGAGAGAAATCATACTCTTATTTCTTGAAAGCCCTCCATTCAGCTATGTAAAGAATTTTGAAGTCTGAGTAAGCTCTTGAATGAACTACAGAAGATAGCCACCTTCTTACTGCTGCCCTATTCCCCAACTCAGCTTTTAGCTGGGTTCCAGTTTCTTATCTTACAATAAAAATACAACTAGTGCTTACCTCATAGAATTATCGTGTTGATCAGATAAAATATTTAAAGCACTGTATGCCAGCCAGTATGTAGCATTCAGTAAATTCTCAATAAATATTAACTGTTTAGATAACTGCATATTAACATAGTAAAAGCTCAAAGAAGTCCTTTAGTAAAGACATTTACTTTGCTTAACTTTATCTCAATATTTCCTTGTCTTATTAGAGTCTATTTACAACCCACTATTGACTTTGGAAACAGGCTATTTGATAGGTATGGTGCCTGCCTGGCCACATTGTTTTGCTCTTTTCAGGTGTGCGTGCGTGTGTGTGTGTGTGTGTGTGTGTGTGCGTGAGAGAGACAGAGAGAGAGAGAAAGAAAGAGAAAGATAGAGAGAATTGTCATTTGCCATTATGCCACTGGCCAAGTTGAAACATATTTTACAAAAACATAACTTCATACTTCCTATTTTAGATAATGAAGAGTTCAATTTGGTGACATTGCTCCCTACATTATACACTGTGTCCTCCTTATAGGAATCCTCTGCATTAATTGTCCCTCTATATCAGGTCAATGAAAAGCAATACTCTCTTTATGAGGTAACTTTTTAAAATAATTTTTAATAGACTACTAACTATAAGCAAATAATTTAGAGTCTACATAGCAAAGTATAATTTAGAGTCTACATAGCAAAGTGGTTTTTTTGTTGTTTTTTTTTTTCTTTTTTGTGTCATCCTTGCACAGGGGCCATGCTAATTGTCTCTGTATCATTAAAATTTTAGTGTATGTACTGCTGAAACAAGCATGCAAAGTGATTTTTTAATATACTTTTAACATCTATACTACTCAGAATAAAAATAACATTTTATTCCTAGTTTCTAGCAGAGCCTCTGGCAACTAGTAGGAAACCATTAAGTGCTTTCCTAATAAAATAATAAAAGCAGTTAACGATCACCATGTTTATTTCATCTAGATGATTATGTTTGTAGTTATAATGCAAATATTCTAAGAAAATTATCTATATTGTTTAAAAACAGCAGGTTGTATCATAATATACACTTCAGGTGGCCTATGAAAATCCACTCTCTACCACGCTGCTCTCCACCACCTGACCTCATCCCAAAATGTCTTGACTTTATTCAGGTTTCTCTCCTTCTTTGCACTCAAAGAATTCGACCCATCCCTGGTAGCAGAAAGTGAATCCTGATTTGTCTCAGCTAACAGATGGAGGTTCCATTGTACCACCCAATAATCTTAAAATATGGGAATAGTTCGTAGTTCTGGCCAATTGTATAAGAAGAAAAATATATTGGGGGAACACTTGGAAAATTTTCTTCACTTTTTAAAATCAAAATACAAAAAGAGTTAATCTCCTTTGCTGGTGGTCATCATTGCCACGTCTGAGTGTTATGTCTGGAACACTGGGTAAGTCGAAGAGCAAAGTCAGTAAGTGTGGGGATTGGCGGTAGAGCAGAGACACAGGAATAAACTAAATTGTTCATTTTCTTTTCACGTCACTGGAATAACCAATCCTGAATTTGTCCTTTCCTGTTATTTTCTGAGTTTCTTAATTAGTGAATTAGTACATTTTCAAATAAAACCCAATTAAGGCTATTGAAACTGTGATTTTCTGTCACTTGTAGTTGGAGCATCCTAACTGCCATACTCATCTGGCTCCCAACACTTTTACTTGGAATTTTAAATCACCAAATCTACTTTTTGTGTGTTAAACTTGTTAGGTGTGATACTTTTATTTTCCTCTTATTTCACTAAGATTACAGATGCTAGACAACCCTTCTCTCAGATTCATTGGCATTTTGTTAAATTGAATTTCTTTTGCCTATCCTGAGAAATGTTAATCTGAATAGAAATGCTCTATATTTAAACAGAAACACTTATTAAAGGTACACTTCTAGAATACATAAATGTGTGGAAACTTTAGAAATGGTGAACACTTTTCCCTGATAAATGTCTCACTATTTTTGATTCATGGTGATTTTGTTTTCTTCCACATATATTAAAAACAGAACATTTTATTCTCATACTTTGGCAAATCTCAAGTAAACACTCCAGGATTAGCAAACTGATTGCAATTGAGGTATTCTTTACAAATATCTTTAATTGCACACTTCAAAACTAAGTCCTCCTGGGCTTGAAATTTCTCTCAAAAGAATTGATCATGTAGAGTTTAGTAGGATGGGCAAGCGCTTGCATTACTCTTGATTCCTCATCGTGATATTTGTATGTCTCGGTATTTTGAATCTGAACATCCTGCTGGAATCTGTCTTTATCTTTCTGTTTGCGAAACTTACTAAATAAGATAGAGGCTATTTCTCTGTAGGAAAAAATAAGACAAAGGCAATGAATTCTGAATTCTGTCTTTATCTTGTAATATATCCTTCCCATTAAGAAAAATCCATTATGTCAAATATTAAGTATACTGACACCTGAAATAAAAATTTTTATTGGTCTAGTTTAGGGATTTGAGAAAAGAAAAAAGCTCATCCACCAGAAAATTCTAAACTGGTAGCATTTTTATTCAATTGTGACACGATTAATTTTTTATCCATGCTAAACCTCTTCTTCCACCAATTTCTATTTGTGAATTCAAATGAGTGTCAATAGACTGAAGCGTATTTATATGGCCTCCTTTTAATTACCAATTTCACACACAGATAGGCAATTGATGAAAAGTAGAGACAATGTCTTTAAATAAAGACAGAAGAAAACTTTGTACTTAAGTAACTATGGGAATTACTAATTCAGTCAGCAAATAAAAATCTGAGTCACCATTAGGATCTGATGCAATTTTTTTCTGTGCAGTTATTGATATGTGTGTATTTACTTATTGCTAAACATAGTTTCTTTAGAAGTTGGTCAACTACTTTAGAAAGAAAACCTGCACATTCTCAGGGAGCCTATGCTATAAAATCCATCAATTATAATTTTTCTCCCAATAAAATGTTAGAATTCCAAAAAAATACATTCATAAGAATTTTTTAACCATATTTCTTGAAGCATAAACTTCTGGAGTTTACAAATAGATTTTTGTTTCACCAACAGTCTTGCAAAAGCAATAATAGTATGCAAAATGTAAATGCATCCTCATGGCAAAGGGTTTGTGTTCAAAGTAATTTTGTAAACAAAGCCTAAACAAAGTTATACTACAGAACTTCTACTGTAGGACTTCTCCGAGCTTTTAAATTGATAGCGCTTATTGTACATATCAAAAAGAGGATAACAGAGATAGTATTTTTCATACTTGTTTCATCTTGGAATCCTACTGGTCACATGCAGGCACGTGTGTGTGTGGCGGGGAGTGTGTGTTGTTAGGCATCCATCACTGTGTTTCAAGACATCATGTAAGACACAACTTAGGAAAATAAGAAAAAGTATCAAGATGAGTGTCTTTAGTTTATTCTCACAACTTTGGGGAAACTTGAGTTGATTAAATAATGATGAAATATATAAAGTTTACTTAATAGGGTACATTTTACATGGGTATTTTATTGATTTAAATATTGCTATAAACTTTGACTCTATACAATATTTATAAATGTTTAGTAATTTTTTTCATATTAAACCTATACAAGGCCTTAGTCTCATAAATTTTGAAAGCGTGTGAGCCATGTTTATATCCAAGTACATTTTTCCAGTGTTTGAAGGAAATGGCTTCTCTTTAGTATACTGAGGTGTTTATTAAGTGATGGCTTCATGTAATACAAAGATTAATATAATTTGTAAAATTAAATATCATACTCATTTACTCCCATATTTCTGGCACTTTTAATTAAAGAAAATGTATAGTCCTTCCTTCCCCACAATACATTATTTGCTTGTCAAGAGGTATTTAAGAAAATCACTTACTTTCTTTTAGCCCTCTTATTTATGAACTAGCCATCTACTTCTATCCAGCCACTTATCATTATATCTTTGGTGAAGGAATATCTGTCAATTTTCTGCAAAGGACTAAACCTACTGGAATCATGTTCCTTCTCTCCAGATAACTTTAGCGTTCTCCCTGGGATTGCAGAATTAGCTGGTCTGCCCTTTGGTCTCTTTGGTCTCTTTCCCTGGGTGAACACATTTCATTAGTTTGTTAGAAAATGCTTCAATAAACTTAAGTCTCCTTTTCCTATTTATTTATTTATTTATTTATTTATTTTTGAGACAGAGTCTTGCTCTGTCACCCAGGCTGGAGTGCAGTGGCATGATCTTGGCTCACTGAAACTTCTGTCCCCCATGTTTGAGCAATTCTCTGTCTCAGCCTCCGCAGTAGCTGGGATTACAGGCGCTTGCCACCAGTCCGGCTAATTTTTTGTATTTTTAGTAGAGGTGGGATTTCACCATCTTGGCCAGACTGGTCTTGAACTCCTGAGCTCGTGATCCGCCTGCGCTGGCCTCCCAAAGTGCTGGGATTACAGGCGTGAGCCACTGCGCCCGGCCTCCTTTTCCTTTTTAACTTCAGTGATTTGTTTAATACATTATTGAGACATGATCAGCTAAAGCAGCACTAGGAAAGAGTTAAAAATCATGCTATGTCTCACCAGGAGACCTGAATTGAAAACTCTTCACTATTACAAGCTCTGTGACTTTGATTGTACACCAAATAATAACTCTTGGTTTGGTTTTCTCTTTTGTAAAATTGGTATCATGTTTATGTGGTGGGGCTATTTGGAACTTGTCAGTGTGTAGATGCCTTAATAAGAACGATGGGGTATTTCCAGAAAGTGACTGGCTCAGGGTGAACCAAGCTGAACTCTTCTCCAGGGGAGTTTATGCAGGGGAAACATTGGTGAGAGCACCACCTTCTGGGGTAGAGTCAAGAAATAGACCTATGTCTAAAGGGAGAGTTTTTATTGTTGAAAAAAAAAATAGGTTGTGTTATAGACAATTCCAGCCTACAGTATAATAGAATGAGATTGGCACTTGTTCTTTCTTATTCTTTCTTGGTGTCACTGCCTTCTCTCCTGTTTCTTCTTGTCAAGCCTCCCTATGTCTGACCCTAACCTCCTTATCCCTCTCTTGTTACTATAGTACTTTCTCATTATGTTACTACTACTTTACCAGTATATTAAGATATTATTTGTTAAAATATTGTATATTACATATTCCCCATCCTAGGTGAGCTCATATAGCAGCCTCCAAAGGTAAATACTAGGAAGACTGAACCATAGTGGTAAAGACAAGAAAGTAGTTACAGAAGGGTGACCAAAATTATGTTCTGTGGATATACTTGTGACATCCATGGAGTCAGGATGGAAAAGGCTTGTCCAAGGTATGGAGTAAAAGGGGACACAAAGAAAAAACAGAATGTGCTGCCCTAACATGTTATGATAAAGTATATAAGTCAGAGAGTCCAATACATGTTCATTGAAATCCATTTAACAAATGTTCATTGTGTACCTACTGTATGCTTCACATTGCTCTAGGTGTTAATTTCACAGTGAGATACTGTCTCTTGTTTCTTGGAATGTGTTATTTAATGAGGGATAAAGACAATAATCACACAAACAAATGTAACAAATGTAATAACGTAATTTGTAACTGAGATGAACAAAGAGATATAAGTGATGTAATGAGATCCCATAACACAAAAACTGACCTAGTCATAGAGAAAAAACAGTTTTGTTTAAACTGAAACCTGTAGGGCAAGCAAGAATGAACTAGATAAAGAGGAGAAGTGAACGTTACAGGCAGATCAACAGAAGATGCAAAGGCTTTCAGTTTCTCACATTTGAATTTGAAGAGTCACTAAAATGCATAAGACAAGATGTCAAGTAGAATTTATTAATTAGAGAGAAAT